GAGCGACTGCTCGGCAGCTACTGCTGCATGCCAACGGCATAAGAATAATTACTATGTACAGAAGTCAAAGGCGCAATCGCTGGGACAGTACTTGTATTACTCTGAACTTTCGAACTCGTACGGGAGATCATCATCAGGGAAAATAGGGTAAAACAAGTACCGGTATGGTTGGTTCTTGTTTATTTCAACTCCCCAAAATGTATGCGGATATTTTTACAATCGGACGCCTGTCAAATAAACTTTGATTTCGTTTCGTCTTGTACTTTCTCTCTTTCTTCCTGTGACAGGGTGTAGGCAATTTCTTAAGGTCTGCTACGGCCTCCAACCATCAGAGTAAATGAACGAGGAGGGGGAGTCAGAAAGAAAAATAGAGAACCGGAGGTAATGTTCGACGCTGTGGCTGCCCCTGTGAGAAATAACTTCGGGTTATGCAGTGCCGCAATCTCCGAAAGACTGGTAATCACTCGCAAACCAATATTGGGTAGGGTTGCAATACTGATTATCGTGCAATCTAATCTCAAGTCTCAGGCCGGCTCTTTAATGAACTTCTTGCTGAGCACTTACAACAAAAAGATTCTGTAACAAATGACTATTTACATAGTAGTACAGCATGAAACACATCCATTCCAAACATTGATGAAAACTAAGTGACTTCCTCCTCAAACCGTAGGCAAAAACGTTTTCACGAATAGAAGCAAATATGCGTGTCTCAGGTTCTTGTTGTAAAGGAGAAGAAGACACGATCTCTCGAACGGTAATCTTATTATTCTGAGCTTTCGGCCCCACGCAAAAGGCCATCGTCAGAGAAAATAAGGAAGCACCAAACGTTGGCTACGCGTAAATAAAGGTGGGGGAGGGAGTGGCACTTGCGATTGTTCCATGCTCATGCCATCTTATCTTGTTTCCACTGCGCGCGTCCTTGGAGTTCTGGTGTGTGACCTTGACGCCGTGTCCTTCGTGGCAGCCTGCATGCTTGGACAGGAACTGGACCGTGGTTTCTGGTCCCGAGCACGGATGGCAAAATAACAGGGCGGTATATCTATATGCCTGTTGATGGAGTTAGAGTCGGATACCCAGGCCTCCAGTAGTTCTCGCCCCGTGTTATTAGCGGCGCGTGCCATTAACCATGTGTCCGAGAAGTCGAATTCGTGGTCCCTTCCAGAGTGTGGGTAGCGATCTGGGACAGTGCGTCGCCTCTCCGCACTGCCTGTTTGTGCTCCGTTATTCGCGAGCTAAGTCGT